TTGATGATGAGAGACATCTGCCGAAGGGATGCTGATCGGACTGGTAGGGATAATGAGGGCTGCTGAGCGTAGTTTGCTAGAGAAGTGATCAAAAGTTGTAATTCGCAAGGCAGCGTCGCGTCCCTGCGGAGGGAAGCGAGGAGGTGTGTAGAGACGATCATCGTCTTGTTCGCTTCCACACTGGCATCCAGACTAAAGGGTGGAAGTTCAGTTTGTGGCTTGCCGCGGAATAAGGTGTACAGCTCCGCAGCAACATTATTCTGCTGTTCGGTAGGAAGGTACCTGATGATCAAGTTGCATATGCGGCCAACAAGGTCGAGTGTGGTCTCGTCGTCAAAAGCCGCTGGGTGTGTTTCATCAGAACTCGATGCGCGTTCGATGAGTGGCAACGCGATGTCCTTGTAGTAATTAGAGCTGTCTGAGCCCTGCGACAGCTTGGTCTCGCCCTTCTTGAGGGCGTACAACATCGCGGAAAGTAGCGCGACAATGTATGTTGAAGAGGCACCCTGTTGGACTGCGGCGCTGAACTTGTTCTTGAGTCGCAGTATGACCGTGTCAAATACCTGCTCCTCGCTGGCCAGCTTGGCGAAAGCTTCGAGAACAGTCGAGTAGCTTTTCGACCCGTCCGCGTCGGTGTCTGGTAGTTGCGCAAGGAAAGCCGGAAATGCTTTCTCGACTACGACCTGTGGCTTCTGGTGGGCAATCTCAACGATACCGTTGATGGCTGCTTCCTTAACCTCGTCCTTTCCATGTGATTCCTCGTGGATGACGATGGAATGCAGAAGCTGAATGATTCTGCCGATATCGTCGTCGCTGAGTAGTCCTCGCGCTTTCGATAGCTGGATAAGTCCATCAAGACAGACTAGTCTGAACGACACTTCTTTGGCCGGGGCTGTCTCGAGACCATTCAACATGACTTCTAGCGCTTGGTCTCGGAATTGAGCGAGCGCGTTGTTGCTGATTTCTTCTCCACCAGGGCCCATCTTTCTCCAGTCACCATACACGTCGATATTGGCTTTTATTAGTTGTACGAGAACTTCCAGTAAGCCTCGGCGCTTTGCCATGGTGTCAGCTGTCTGGAATAGTAGGAAGAGATTCGGTAGCACACCGGCTAGTACGAGGCTAGTGACTTCGGGAGACACATTGGCGATGCTTTCGAGAAACCTTGCGGAAGCTTGGGATTGCTTCGTGGGCGCATCTTCGAGGTGTTCGTTGCACTCCTTGATAACTGGTTTGAGATACGCATTGAGTGATCCTGGGGTGCCCTTCGATAGTGTCCTTGCAATCGCGGCTAGGCCTGCAAGCGCTTCCTTCGCTAGGTCTTCCTCTTGCACGTTCAAGACTTCAAACTTCAACGCATCCCATAACGTCACTGCGTATAAAGATACTGTCCTTGGTCCGTATTCAGTCACTGAGGCGGTAATCGTTGATAGAACGTCTCGCTTGGTGTTCATCGATGTGGAATCGAGCTTGTCCAGAAGCGCAGGGAACGCATATGGCGCAAAGTCGGCCGTGGATGAAATGCAATCTCGCAAGCGATCCTTCAGATCCTGCGCCGTGATGCCATACGGATCATCAGGTGGCGGCCTGAAGGTAATTGGGAAGTAGTTGAAGACTGCGTCAAACAGATCCTGTGCATCTCCGCCGATGTTCCATTCCGTCATTGGAACCCTGAGTATAGAGAAGACGACCATCAAGTTCCGAGGATCTTTCTCTCCGTCAAAGTATGATATGAAGCGTCCCAAGAAGTCTGGTGTCGCATCGTGGTGGGCTCGGAGGGCATCGCGGTATTTCGCCATAAGCGTATCGATCAGGCGCAGCACGGGGTAGCGTTCGCTCTGCTGCTTGTATTGCCGTAGCGGATGTGTGTTATTGAGGAGTGCCTCAACGATGCTGACTACCCGCTGGTCGTCCCACTTCCCCAGCTCTTCCAGCGCCAGGAGTGCCTTTGCGCATGACCCGAGGCCTTCGTTGTCTTCGGTTCGGGAAAGGGTGAAGTCGCAGAGCAGGTTCCCTAAGCTTCCCGTTAGCCCGTTTTATCTCATGACACGATGCTCTCGCCCTGGAAATGTAATCCATAACTAATGCTCCGCCCCACTACCAACAATCGTTTTGGTCTGCGATATGCGATGGATGTGTACGGGGAACAACGGAGTATGGACTGAGCGTTCGCGGGCTCACGTACGTTGTTGGAGGGAAAGAACCTTCTGTGGGACGGCTGCGAGTACCTCCGCAAGGTAAGACATGGCTACGATGAATTAGCCCAGCTCCTAGTATATTCCAGAGCGATACGTACTCTTCGACCGCGTGGCTCCATCTTCACTGTTCAAGTACTCCCCCAGGTCAGTGACCAGGCTGATAAGCTTCAATTCGCCATTCTTCAGTCCTATCCACAATCAGCCCTCATCCCGCCAGATGCCCCGCCGGAACCTCGTACATACGCGTCGCGCTCCGCTGAGCAGTCGCCGTGGCTTCTTTCTTGTTCCTATCAAAGTCCAGCAGATACTGTTGAGCATCTGACATGTTGATCGTCGCGGGTGCGGTATGCTGCAATGTGTTGCCGTATTCCTCGAAGCACGCGATTCAGAAAGTTGCAGAGTCGCGGCAATGACGTTACGGAGTTGCGGTGCTGCTGATTGGCCGGTATCGGAAGGGTGGGGCAGGTCGCGCAAAAAAAGTTAATGGGAAGTGTCGGCAGTGAGGAAAGTGTGCTTAATTGACCCGATGGGAGAGGCTTGACTGGTCCCTGTGGCCCCGTGCTGTGAAATAAATCGTCTTCTCTGGACCGACTCATATCTTGGATCTACTATTCCAATCGTCGACTATTCCGCTGCCCATCATCCCCAGAACAGCAAAGTTACCCCGCCATGGCCGACGATAAACCTAACTGCAAAGTCATCCTTGCGAACAACATCGCCAAAGGTCTTTTGGACGAAGTGCGCGACGGTCTAAGTAAGATTCCGCGCAAGCCGCTACTCGTTGGCTTCCTTTCCAGCGCAGATCCTGCCGCCAGGGTATACGCAGAATGGACAGGCAAAACTTGTGTTGAAAAGTGAGCGCGTCCACTAGTCGATACTCAGTTCTTCTATGGCTGAGGCTTTGGCTGGAAGTCGGGTGAAAGCCGCCTACTAACCTCATTGTAGTGGCTTCGCATTTGACCTGCGCGAAGTCGACCGCGAGCTCCTTGAGGACCGCCTCATCGAAGCGAACAACGACGCTGCCGTGGACGGCATCATTGTCTACTACCCCATCTTCGGTAACCGCCAGGACCAATATCTCCAGCAGATTGTCTCCATCGACAAGGACGTGGAAGGACTGTCGCATCGTTACATTTTCAACATGTACCAAAACATTCGCTTCCTTGACCCTGCCAACACCAAAAAGAGCATCTTGCCTTGCACACCCCTGGCCGTGATCAAGATCCTGGAGTACCTGAGAATCTACAACACCATCCTCCCATACGGTAACAGACTGCACGGACGCACCATTACCGTCATCAACAGAAGCGAAGTGGTAGGCAGACCGCTTGCAGCACTACTTGCCAACGACGGTGCTCATGTCTACAGCGTGGATATCAGCGATGTGCAGGAATTCACACGAGGCGTTGGTCTACGAAAGCGAAGACACGAGGTAGTGGAGAAGCCTGGCTGGACCCTCAACGACTGCCTCCCACTTAGCGATGTAGTCATCAGCGGTGTACCTGGAGACAAGTACAAGGTGCCACTCGAGTTGATGAGGGATGGAGCCGCATGCATCAACTTTTCCAGTGAGAGGAACTTTACGCCCGAGGTTAAGGAGAAGGCCTCCATCTACGTTCCTGCCATCGGCAAAGTCACTATTGCTGTGCTCTTGAGGAATCTGTTGGTACGTAATCATGCGTCTACCTACGGGACTACACTGACAGTGTTGCAGCGCCTCGCTCAAAACAAGATTGATGCTGCTGCTCAGGGCGTGGATGAGAAGTCCTCGGTTGAGCCAGTGATTCAGTCGACCGCATAGACCTGTTTATCATTCTGCATCGTGTCCTCATTTTGATACCCTATAGAAGGCACGCGTGCCATAACAAAACTCGCTCGTCATCCAGCTTTTCGCAATCTGAGCCTGTGTCTGATCGACGTCACGCATCATGAAATTGACTTGACAGTCACCCAGAGCACACAGTCTCGTAGAAGTAAAACCATCATATTAAAGTCGAGCAAGAGATTGCACAAGAATTTGTGACTGAATAGTACCAACCATTTGATCGTGATAGATAGGATTAACCCATTAAGTCCACATGACCCAGCCAGGAGAAAACCACATGTAGAAAAGTAAAGGTATAAACAAGGTGCGAAATTCGTTACACGATTGAACGCCACGCTAAATGTGAAATCAAGACGCCTCCGGCGGCATGGGCACAGGCACGCTTTCCACCTTGATTTCTGGTTGCGGCGGCTCGTATACATCACTCTCTGCCTCCGGCGCCGCTCGCCTAGGCAAGGGTCTCTCCCTTTCTTCGTAGTACATATAGTCGTCAGGGCGACTATTGTATCTCTGTGGTGCAGGCCTCTCGTATTGGACTGGGACGTATCCATATGAGTCATGTTCATATCGGTGAGGCTGATGTGGCATATACGGGGCCCGATACCTGGTGTCACCACGTACACGAATGACCTCGTAGTCATGCATGGGATGCCCGTACTCGTCAACATAAACTGGTTGTGGACCGCGTGGTTCATCGTAACGATATCGTGGTGGTGAGTACCCGTGTGCATGTGGATGCAGACGGTCTTGCACAGAGACGTACCCGCGGGGATGACGGCGGGCAAGTGGATAGAACCCTTCATCTTGTACAGACTGATCAAGGCTGTGCTCTCGAGAATACGCAGGCTCGTAGTCAGGCTCAGCATTGGGCTGCGGTGTTTCTTGTTGATCGATGCGACGCTTTTGTTCTTCATATCTCCGGCTTTGCGATCGGCTCATGCTGGAACCACGTCCATAGGGATCTTCCCGCGCAACACTCATGTATCGCTGATATCGAGACGGTCCCCGGTTTTCGTTAGGCCGATCTCTTCGGCGTTGAGGTCCAGCCCTTCGTGGCGGACCGCTTGGTCCAGACATTGGCATCCGATACCCGTTAGGTTGATAGTCGTCATATCGGGAGTTGTTGGAAACAGTGGAAGGAGCTCGAGGATGTGGGGGCGCAAGTGGGCGAACAGGTGCTGTTGCATCTGCTGGTGCAGGAGCTTCTGGGGGCGGAGGCGTGTAACGAGGCCCATCCCCGTTTTCCTGCGCTGGTGCAGCAGCGTCTACTTCGGACTGTGGTTGTGGTTGTGGGGGTTCGTTCTCTGCTAGGAACCGATCTGCTGCAGATTGCCCTTGAGGTGGACTGGCATCCCTTGACTGACGCTCGTTCATGAACCGGTATTCGGGCCGATGATCATCTTCTTCATAGTATCGAGCCTGGCGGGGATAGGCACTGTATTCCCGACTGCCGTGGCTTCCTTCCCGCGGATGTGCGTAGACCACGTCCTCGGGTGGTCCATAGAATCGCTCTTGCTCGCGGAACGCTGTTCGGCGGCCGGTGTAATCCTCATATGTAGGACCTGCATGGATGATCCTTGGGCTGGGGGCGTACTCCACATACTCCCGGGGGCGGTGATAGCCGTCATCAAGGTGATCCCTCGGCAGCTGGCAGACAAAGATGTTAGTTTCACTAATGTTTCTGCGGAGTTTGGTAGATCACGTACATAGTATCGCGGCTCAGCATAATGGTGCTGCCTACGCTCTGCGGGGGAGCTCTCTCGATATGAACGTTTCCTGTTCATGGAGCCCGACGCCTCATTCGATTCGCCGGCAAGGCTTGGTCGAACAGGCTCATAACCAGCCTCCAGCGGTTTAGGTGGTAGCGCCGAATTTGCTTCTGCTGCTTTCATAACAGAGTTGGGGCGTGCTATTCCCTCACCAGCAACATCGGCTGGGCCAGTCGTTTTGTCTGAATCCTTCGGTCCTGACGAGGCTGGGGAAGCTAATCCATGGCTATCAATCACGCCGATCTTAGGCAGTGGCATAGGGAACAAGCTGGGAAAGACGGTCGCTATCATTAGCAGCTTCTCGTCATCCATGCCTGGGGCGTGTATGAGACCAGAAATGAACCGTTCGCTTGGAAGCTCGATCATGTGTTCCTTCCAGTCCAGAGGGGCAATAGGCATTCCGTGGCCAGGCATTGGTTGCTGAAAAGGCAGATGCTGGCTCCTGAAGTGCGATAACAGGCCGAGGACAGTATAAGTTGTTCTTTCCTCCGACTTGGAGTAGTAGGAACCTCCCAAGTTATGCGAAGCGCCCGTCTGACAAGCTTTGCATGAGAGACCTGGTGCATTCTTCAAAGCCTTTGGCATCTCATGATTAGACAGAGCATCAATGAAGTGGTTCAGGTTCGGTTCATGATTGAACTCTACATGAAACTTGGAGATGACGCGATGGAGCAACACATAGATCCGGAGGCTATTCGGCATGTCCTTGATCCCCGAGGTGCGTTTCCAGATGTCCTGGGTCATGTCGATGACGGTACTTACTTGCTTGTCAAACGAGCTAGTACTTTGGCCAGTATCTTCTGTACCGCTAGGAGCGATCTCAGGAATTCCTTGGCTAGGTGGTGGCATGTTGGGTGGTGGTGGAGCTATGGCATTGTTGATCATCGCTGGAGAAGTCAGGTAAGGGTTCTGGGCCGCATGAGCACCATAACCTGGTGGACCCATTGCTTGATGTGCATACATATCCACGGGTGTCGCATATGGCTGGGGGTACTCGAAGCCAGAAGGAACCTGTGGTGGAGCGAATGGTCCATTGTACTGGCCTCCATAGTTGTAAGGACCAGGGCTCGCCTGTGGATGGTGAGTTGGCATGTGAGGTGTTGATGTCCCTGCGCGTGAGTATCCGCCAAAATAGCCACCAAACCCATTCGTACTAGAAGAGGGATGATGACCATGTTGAGGTTGCTTCACAGAGAGAGGATCTGGGTGGAAGGGAGTCTCCTCCGGCCACTCGGCTTCTCTCCATGCAACGACCACGTTTCCTGAACTGAAGGCAGCAGTATGTTTGGCTCCGTAGTGCTGCGTGACGCCCTCGAAACCATAGTACTTGTTGTTGTACTCGCATCCGCCACCATGGCACAGGAAGATGTCCTTCCGGAATGGTTCTGTCAAAGGCTTGATCTTGTTGTCGTACACCCATTTCATGTTATCCAGGACGAGCCTGGGCCTAGTAGTTATATTGTCAGTAGAAGGCTGCGTATGTTGCCCGGGATGATCAGAGTCCTGTTCGGGTTCCTCGGCATAGTATGTGCGGCGCACGTGAGCAAGGAGGTCGGCCGCAAACTTTGGGCTGTTGTCGTAAGTGACGGCGCTGCCATGGTCCCAGCTCTGATTGATGAAGTCGTCGGCGATGGCTTCGAGTCTGTCGCGGATGGGTCGTTGCGACTCTTCCCACTCTCGGTCCATGACTTCCCTGGCCTCCTTGGAATTGGCGTCCGTGTGGCGGCGGTCGGCAGCTTTTGTGGGAAACGAAGCAGCCCGAGCCACGTGGTCGGCTTCTGCTTGTTGGGCAGCAGGGAGCTGAGCGATCAAGCGGGGTTGGAGCACACTCCATGCATAGTCGTTCATTGGCTGTGAAATCTGGATAGCCGCTTTGAACGAGTCCATGTGGCGCAAGACGTTGGGAGCGATAGGAGGGTCCATTTGCTGACACCGGCGTTCTATGTCGGTCTTCCGGGTCGCCTTGGCCTCGTTTGCATCGTGTAGGTTTCTCTGGCCAGAAGGGGTGAAAGCCTGTGGTGGAACAGTAGGCGGTCGCGCTTGCGCATGCTGCGACGATGGTGCTACACCTGTTAGGGAGGGGACTGGAGAGGTGTTGTTGACATATCGAAAGGCATCGCCATGTGTGGCAGCAAATGAGACAGCAGAGGTATACTTACTCGCTGGAACCGGAGCATGAATTATGGGAGAGGGAGTTCGACGAGGGGGTGATTTAGACGGGTCCTTGTGTGACGTGGCGGCATGCGAGGGAGCTGCAGATGGAGCGCGCTTCGCACGCTCGTGCTCCTCCTGCCACAGGTTCTTGACCTCCCAGCGTTCCCAGTTCTCGGCGACTTTCATGCGTTCTTTTCCGCGAGCATCGAGTCCTTTGGACCACTCCTCAGCTGCTGCAGGGCCACGGCTGATGGCCTCGTTCATCTCCTGCGTGATCTCCTCGACATGCTGCTTGTAGTAGAACTTGGCAATGTCGACGTCGGCCGGCGTATTCGCAGATTGCAGGGTGTATGCCGGAATGTAGTGCTGGTCGCTGGTGAGGAGGGCGAACGGGAGGGCGGGCCGCAGGGCGGAGGCAGCCGAGAAGAGAAGGCTCGCGTCCTATACATGTCAGTCGCGACCCAGGAAGCGGAAGGTGCAACTCACCGTCTGGCATTGTTTGAGCAGGCACGGCCCGCAGGCTCTGATGGCGAAGGGCCAAATGACGCGGACGCCTTCTTTGCCGGGGCCCTTTTGCCATATGCGCTCGCCTGGAGTCAGAGAATCAAGCTTATTGCAGAACTGACATCTCCTGGACCAAGCCAGCTGCCACATGCGCAGCTCGCTGAAGCCTGGGAGCGGCTTCGGGGGCTTGGTACACATTGCGTTGCGGGCAGAGGCCCACAACGACTCGGACTTTAGGAGATGCAGACGGCCAGGATGCGACTTTGAAGTCGACAGACTGCGCACGTCTGTGAGATAGGATAGGAAAGATCGATTGACCTGGATCAATCGACCGAGATCTGCAAGCGAACAAAAAGAGAAAACATGCTGCCACAACTCGGGTGGTAGCTTCACGAGCGGCTTCGCGCTGCTGAGCTTGCGCTTCTTTTCACGCTCATGGGGCGCATCCTCTGCCTTGCGCTTTGCGACAGACGCGTCGCTGTGCGCAGGCGTCGCCTGGGGAGGATTCGCATCAGAGCCGTAGAAGTCGACCGACGACGCTGGGCTTGATTCGCGGTCCTCCATGGCGGCGCAGCCGTGCTGGGGCAGCGTTCACAACAGACTCATTGTCGGCATGCGCAGGCTAGATACACAGAGACAGCGACATGCGATGGATGACGATGCGATGGAGCAGCGCGCGATGAGATGGAGCGCGGAAAAGGCGGTGCGCTGCGTGTGTTGGCGATGCTAGTGTTTGTCGTGGCAGAGTGGAGGTGAAGAGGGCTAGAGGGCTAGAAGGATGGAGCCTGGGGTCTAGGCGGCGGTTTGAAGGATGCAGAAAGCTGCTTTGGCATGCAGCGAGGGCAGGCAGTGCGAGGAGCTATGTCCAATTATTCACGGTGAAGCGGACGAGGGTCTCCTTGAAGGTCGTTGGGCGCGCCGTCGGCACCGCTTGCCTGCCACCAGCGCCAGCGCCAGCCGCTCGAGGGCGCGGGCCAAGCATGACATAGCTGCCAGCTCTGCACACCGAACTTGTGGCCCGCCTGTGCTGACCAGCCCGACCCGACTAGGTTAATTCACGCCCAATTACACAGACACACATACGGGATACGCGTACGCTGCCTGTCCCACCACGCATCGTGCTAGCTGTCAATTCCGAGTGCTGCTTTTCCTCCTCCACCTCCTCTTCTCCACCACTCCCCCAAGCTTCGTCTCCCACGACAGCTTCCCCTCCACGCCGCCCACCATGGCCACGCTCAATACCTCCAGCAACGGCCCCAACATCACCCGCAGCTACCAGAATGTCGTCAATGCCCCGGCGCCCTCTGGTCCCCAGGCCAGCTCGCCCACATACGGCCAATGGGCCGTCTTCACAGTCGCTGCCCCGCTTGTCAGCGCATTCCAGCAGGACGGCGGGAAAGAGAGCGTGCTGAAAGTGCAGAGCACCGGAGGTACGTGGAACAGCGCGGCACACTTCAATGGCCATCATTCCGCACTCGAGAGCTTGGGCTATGGCAAGGTGGCTGCCCAAGCTCGGGTGTCGGCACATCACGAAGCGCAGCACAGTGCTAACATCCTGCAGAGGGCGAGCTGCTCGACCTGATAGACGAGTTCTCAGACGGCCGCATCCAGTTTGCATTCGTCAAAGTCAAGGACCCCAACACATCGCTGCCCAAGAACGTCCTGATAGCATGGGTAAGCTCTCCGCCGCAGCTGCCAGGGATACAATGCTAATTCACACGCAGTGCGGCGCAGGTGTTCCAGAGCGGACTAAGGGCTACTTTGGCAGCCATCTCACGGTTGTCTCCAAGCTGCTACATGTGCGTACTCCCACAGCCCCTCTACGCACAAGCTAATTTCCATAGGGATACCATGTCCAAGTTACCGCCCGTTCCGAGGACGACCTCAGCCCAGAGAAGATTGTCCAGAAAGTTGCAGACGCATCAGGCGCCAAGTACGGCGGCGGTGCCGATGTCCCTGCCCCGCGCGGCCCTCCTCCAGTTGCCGCGAAGAAGCCCGTCTTCACACCTACCTCGATAGGCGGCGGAGGCGCTGGCTTCAACCCTCTCGGCCGCTCGCGTGCACCTGCGCCAAAGGGCGATGAAGATGCGGATGGCTGGGGTGCTGACGCCCCGCAGGTCTCCAGATCCCAGCTGGAGAAGGTCGGAACTGCTTACACTCCCACGAAGGTCAACATGGCCGAGCTCACCGCGAGAAAAGACGAATCCACCGGTTCCCAGCCCTCGGGCTCGCAGAACGACCGCCCTGAAGTCGTCAGGGGCGCATACCAGCCAGTTGGCAAAGTCGACATTGCAGCCATCCGAGCCCAAGCGCGCGATGCCAAAGACGACCGGCCCACTGTTGTCAAAGGCGCGTACGAGCCCGTCGGAAAGGTCGATATCGCGGCTATCCGCGCAAAAGCCCAAGCCGGTCCCCCATCCTCTGGCATGTCCCCAGCCCCAACGGGAGCGTCGAACAACGAAGAAGAGGAAGAGAAGCCCAAGTCTCTCGCAGAGAGATCAGCAGCTTTCAGCGCGCAGCCCGAGCGCCTTACCAGCTTGCCGAAGCCCAAGGTTGCCAACAAGTTTGCTGGTGCGAGCACATTCACCGGCACCAAAGCTCCTACTCCAGGAGGTTTTGGTGCAAAGCCCGCTCCTCCAGCACCAATCGTCGGCGCCGCGAGCAAGACGTTTGCTGACCAAGGAGGAAAGACTCCTGCTCAGATCTGGGCGGAGAAGAAGGCGGCCCGTGGAGAAGCCGTTCCTTCTTCTACTGCCGATGCTGGAAGCCGCCCAACTCCCCTCCAAAGCCAACAGAGTGGAGGTGGTGGCTGGCAAAGTGGCTACTCCGGCAAATCATGGGCTCCAGTACAGACTACCCGAACAGGTCAGTCTGCGACTAGCAACCTCAGCGAACAACGCACGGGTGGGGCACCTCAACAAGAAGAGCCAGCCTCTCCTGCAGCTGGTGGCGTAAGCTCGCTCAAGGACCGCTTCACAGGTGCCGCCCCTATGGGAGCGCCAACTTCACGCCCTGTACCAGAGCCGCAAGCTTCCAGCCCACCGCCTCTCGATACCTCGAGCAAGCCCAATGCTGGCCCGAGGGGCGTTCCGATGCCAGGCCTGCCTACCCGACCCAAAGAGCCGGAATCAGACGAAGAGGATGTGCCTGCCACTCAACACCAGCGTATGCCATCTCCACCACCTCAACCACCTCGCAGCCCGTCTCCTGAGCCTTCCGGCTCTCCTGTTCGTATTGCCATGCCCGTTGCTCGTGGGCGCGAACCAGAGGAGATGTCTCCTGCCGAGGAACACGCACCGCCTATGCCCGCGCGATCACTTGATCAAGCAGCCAGGCAAAATCGTGACATGTCTCCAGAGCCACAAGTCGAGGCCAAGGACCCTGCTCGTGGAGCTGGCGCTGCCGTTGCTGCTGCCACTTTTGGTGCTGCCGCAGTAGGCGGTGCTGCCGTCGGCGCAGCGGTCGCTTCTCATGACGATGACGATGCCGGTGCCGGTGGCTCCGGCAAGCGCGCAGTCATCCAATATGACTACGAAAAGGCGGAGGACAACGAAGTCGAGCTCCGTGAAGGCGAGTATGTCACAGACATCGACATGGTAGACGACGACTGGTGGATGGGCACAAACTCTCAGGGCGAGCGTGGTCTCTTCCCGGCCAACTATGTTGAGCTGGTCGAGGGCGACGATGCCGCCGCTGCACCAGCACTGCCCGCACACCCCTCGGCGCCGCAAGAGCCCGAACCTGCTGCGGCACCATCACAGTCTGCTGGCCCTACAGCCACCGCTCTGTACGATTACGAAGCAGCTGAGGACAACGAACTGAGCTTCCCCGAAGGAGCCACAGTAACTGAACTTGTAAGACTACCTGCACCACTGCTAAAACCGATGCTAATACTCTTGCAGCAATTCCCCGACGAAGACTGGTGGCTCGGTAGCTACAATGGCCAATCGGGTCTCTTCCCCGCCAACTATGTTGAGTTGAACGAGTAGGCTTGCTTGTTGCCATGCATTTAACCTGAGCGATTTGGAGTCAGCTCGCGTCGGCGATTTTGTTGTTGCATTGTCACGCACCCGACTGGCTCAGTAGTCGCAGGACGAAATCCTGGTACAAAAGTTGCGGCCTACAGTCCTACCACTCCAGTCGCATTTCCAAACGATTTACATTGATAGGACCTACACCGATAAAGATTCACTGGGTCAACCAGCATCTTCTTGTACATATCAAAATTTCAAAAGCGATTACCATGGCTCCAGTATTGGTCATACGCTAAACGAGATCATCAAGAGTGAGCACTCGTTGATTCTGCGACCCAGCATCCAGTGTCGTCCTGCGCGGGCACAAGGTACCAGTCAATGCATATGCTTAAGCCTACGAGTATCCTATTCTACGATGTTCCAACGGCCGTTTTGATGTTCACTACACGTGGACCAAATTGGCTATTTCTAAAATCCACTTTCTATTTGGGTCTCCACTATTGATGCCATGGTTTGCCTATAACCGTCACAGGATTACGATGGGAGTGCCCATACGTCCCACGGACTGAGGTGACTGCGCACCCACGATATATGTCCGCAGCAGCCTTATGATCATCTGAACCATGGATACCAAAATACGCGCATCTGGGCAAGGAAATTCCCACTCAAGTATAAAACTATGTAGTACGCTGCACCACTGCTGATTTACTTCACAACCTTTCTCTCCAAGATACCTGGTTTTCACGACGAACACAAATTACCACAACCACTTACAGCATAACAGAGAGTGTATCTTACACTTCCATCTGGCGATCACAATGGTCTCTTTGGCCTGGTCCATGGCAGCCGGAATAGTTCTCCTCGCTGCTCTTATCGGCCTGGTCCACTACGACGAGAAACTCAACGAAGCGATCTGTCGAGCAAAATTTCAAGAGGAAGTACTCAAGGCCACTCAAGCCGAGCTGTCTGAAGTCAAAGACGAGCTCCACGTCTCCCAAACCAAGCCTACTAGTACTGACCTCTGCCTCGTCGATACCAAATCCATTCTCGCCAACACCGAAATTGCGCTCAAACAGAGCGAAAAGGAAGTCGTCGCCCACCTCGAATTCCGCGATGGACTCGGTAGGGAGCTGTCCCAAGCGCGCCGCGAACGCGACCGCGCAGAAGGCGTAATGGTGTACCTCACCCAAGCACTCGAGGAGTCCAAATGCAAGAATGCCTCCAAGGAAGATGAGTGCTACGAACTACAGAGTCAGATTCAGTTCAAAGCCAAAGAGCTCCAGTCCATGACACTTTCTCTGCACAACACCATGAAGGAGTTGGAGCGTGCAAACAAGTTTAGCCAGGAGGCGCAAGATAAGATTGACGAACAACACGCGACGATCATGTTCAACGAGGAAAGCGCCAAACGTGTTACCACACATCTCCAGGCTATGACACATTCTCTGCACAACACCAAGAAGGAGTGGGAGCGTGCAAACAAGTCTAGCCAGGAGGCGCAAGCTAAGATTGACGAACAACACGCGACGATCATGTCAAACGAAGAAAGCGCCAAACGTGTATCTACACAGATCGAGAAGCTGACCAGGGACTGCAATGCCCTGAAATCCCAAATTCGAAGCTTACATCTAGGATGGATGTCGAGGTGTGACGAATCCTGGCGCGTGAAGAAAGCTCTCGAAGAAGAGAACAGGCAGCTACGCATCGCGAACGAATCTTGGACCAAGAACAACGCCGGCACTATTCGCGCCATGCAATCTCGCGTCGACGAATTAGAGGGCCAGCTTGCAGAATGCAGGATGGAGAATGGGTGCCTTGCCGTAGATCTCGAGATCATGGTTGAGCGCGTCGCACACTACATGGAGGAGATCGAGGCCTTAGACCGAGAGGCTGAAGAGCGCGAGTGGAACTTCATCCCGGGCGAGATGACTGAGGTGGCTAGTGAAATGAGCGAGAGCATCACAGATGAAGAGGAGGAGTACGAGGAATACGAGGAGTATGAACCAGAAGGATACCACCTGTGGGCTCACGACGGAGACAGCGATGACGACGCCACGGTATACGAACTCGACGAAGATAGCGAGGAAGAAATGCCAGAGTGGTTCATCCACGCGCCCACGGACCCTAGCGGCATGCCTTACAAGCAGATGTGGGAGATGACCAACTTCGAGACCGAGGGACTCAAAGAGTGGGATGTGGACAACTGGGCTGTGACCAACGGTCAGGAGGAGAACGAGATCCTCGAGATCCTAGAGGGCTTGGAAGAACAGCACACGGATGACGACACTCTATCTCAGAGCGACGATGAGAGTCTGGACTCATGGGACGCGGACGATGAACTCTGGAGTGGGAGTGCTATCAAGAACAACACTCCATGGAACTCGTATATGAAGGATACTCTGGACGAAGATGATGAGGATTGGGGTATGGTACATACATGGGATTGCGAGCCCAGTACGGTGGATTGTGATTGGTGATGATGTCCGAGCTCTTCATGTGGCAAGGCCTTATGTGGTGTCCTCAACCTTCGGTTAGGGATCCGCTTTCAGTATTCATACAATGGGGTTGGGCATTGTTTGTTGGATGTGCTGGTTCTACAACGCAGATACGACGCGGCTGGAACGAGGTTTGGTATTAAACGCTGGCATCGGCCCTGTTCGGTCGCTACTCTCAAATATAACTGTCTGCCCCTAATCTTGTTTTGGTGGAAATAGCTTGTGTACACGTCGCCATCATTCCAGTGCTCGTGCAAACATGGTCTATATAACCTAGCTACCACCACTACGTGATACCCCCACAGCCATCCGCAAGTATGCACTTCATGTTCACTCTCTTTACAGTATCGCTGGCGCTCAGCACAAGCGCACACCCTTTTATCACGGCCAGAAGTCTACCTCCGGAGTCTGCATGGATGACGATATTGCTGCCTCCTAGCGCGACTACACCAGTCGTACCACCGGCTGCTCCTTCTTCGAAACCGGTGGGTCAGCCGCTCCTTCCTCCTGCGCCAACAAGCCATATATCTCCAACCTTACCTTCATTTGTGCTTGCCTCCACATTCACACCATCAAGTAACATTGCGACACCGGGAGTCCCAGTGGCGACCACGCATACTGTCCCGGCTGCACCTTCCAGCTCAGCAGTGCCTGTTGTGCCCACACCATCTTCATCCCCCACCTCCCCAGCAAACCCTTCGCCTTCAATGCTCCACGCTCAGATCTGCTCAACGGACGATAAGTGCGAAGACGTCGCATTGCTTCCCCATGAGTGTCGGCTACTCACCACAACTCTGTAAGTCACCACAGCGACTCCCAGCTACTTTGAGAAACTCCTAACGTATATAGTGGTGCAACCGTACGTAAGGTGACTGTTCAGTGGCCAGCAGTATGCCTCTTTACCATGTAAGTTTCGTTTGCCTAGTAGACAAGACATATACTGATAGACTCAGAATGTCGCAGTGCACTACGTATAAGTTTCTGGAGAGTCCTGAATTATTCCTTGCGAGGGAAGTGTCGGGCGGTAGTGTTCCGGGCGGAAGCGTTGTAGTAGACGACATCCAGAAGGGTATGACGGGGAAGGTGCTGTATATGATCTGTAAGCTCTGAGTTCAAGTAGCGAGCTAGTGAAGGAGTAACGAACGTGTACTGTATCAGAGACCCACATTACTGCGATCTCTAGTGGGGCAAGCGCATGTATTCAACCAAGCGGACTCACCTTCACCTCGACGTAAGTGTACTAGCTTACATTCTTGCCACAGAGATCGCGACTTCCAATCTATTTCTCCTTGCCTTTCTCCAATCATCAATCCCCAAGGAGCGCCTTCAGGTTCGTTACCAAGTATGGCAACCGCTGAGATGTCGAGTACCGCCGACCCTGCTGAGCCAAAGGTGCTGCCATTGATTGGGTAAGTTTGGTCAAAAACCTTCCGTCCTTTACAATGTTGTCTAATCGTTTAATAGAAGCGTTACAAGAAGCGGTATCGTCGTCATTGAGATCGGCTCAGACCGCCAGCAGCACCACGTACACGAAGAGTTACTTTCGCACCATTCGGAATACTTTCGCAAAGCCTTCAACGGCTCTTGGAAGGAGTCAGAGGACAAGCGCGTAGCGCTGACCGACGTTGACCCAATTGCTTTCGATATCTTTGTCCAGTGGCTTTATACTCAGAAGCTTCCGACTTACCTCGAATATCGCAACATGGCAAAGGCCCTTCCACCTACCTTACCAGACGACGATGATTGGATCACCGCCCTGACAAAATCGCTCGTTTTTGGCGATAGGTTTCTGGTTCCAGTATTCTCTCAGACCGTGAACAACCTCATTGTCGACAACATCCTCGGTAACGCCGGCTATCTTGCGATGTCGCCTCCTTTCTTCACTGCTACCAAGTACGCCTACGAAAATCTTCCCGAAGACCACATCATACATGAGTTCTTTCTTGAGGTTCACTGTCGCTACTGGGAAGTTGAGTCATATGCTGTGGAGCGTACAGTGTCGGAAACACTACAGATGCAGGTACCGCCTAACCTACTTGTCGAGATGATGGTGCTATTCGCTTGCAAGGCTACAGAAGGAACCGCATGGCGCAATGTTCCGTTGGATGTCTGTCACTATCACATGCACGCCGATGACGAAGAGCGGAAGCAATGCGAGATTGATCAGCGTGAGGATCCATCTATCTAGAATACTGGACAACTCATGATTGACCAAACGGGCATGATGATATCGAAAGGTCCGAGCCTGTGCCAAACACAGAAGGCGCGAAGTGGGTAGAGATACTAGAATAATATTTTGGCATGCAAATGGGCCGCAGAACGATAGTACAGTGAACCCAAACACTTCCCATGCAGCCGTAATTTCTCTTTACAAGAATTTCTTCAGTTGATAGACGAGACTCTCAGGGTCACAACATCTCATTCAACATATCCACCCAAAACCTCTGCCCCGCCTCGCTGGGCCCACCAGTTCGCATCTCTTCACAGTCTTTGTGCTCGCACATGATACGAAGAGATCCCATTGTACCATTTCCGCATTTCTGGACCTTAAGGAGGTACCGATCGACAGCCTCATCAGGCGTTTGATCGAGCGGGCATTTAGGCGTACGCTTCGCGACCTCCCACACTTGTTCGAGCGAGTACTTCAACATGACGAACCGTTTATCATGACCGCGGTATTCTTGAATATCTTTCACACCGAAGCGATTCAGTTGGTGGCGTTGCATGTGGAAGAGACCGATGATGTCGGATCCACAGATCCAGATAGGTTTTCCTCCAGCAGTTTTGAAGCGCTCTGCCGACGAGACAGAGACGACCAGCTTCTTTAACAACGAAGACGCATTCTTCCCCGTGGCGTAGGGAGGAACTTCGTCCGATGGAGGTATCGTGGCGCGATACCCAGCTTGATTGTTCCATTGGAGTAAACCCCTTCGCACGATGTGGTTTTCGTCCACGCCTTTGCACGCTTTCTCGGCGGTCAACATCCATCTTAAGTAACTGACGCAATTGTCGTCGCTTTTATCGCTATCCAGCTGCTGTAATGTGCGCCCGGCATACCTCCCAGTTCTCAATACGTAGCGCCAATAAGGATCGGCTTTGATCAACTGGCCTATCTCGGAGTCTTCGTCATCGATGTATTCCTGCGACGGGTCGTATGCCTCTGAATAGCGGACAGACTGTCCTGGCTGCCTATAGATTGTCTTCGCTGTTCGCTGGGGCGGCATGACTGACTGTTACTGCTGGACTACAAACGGGAATGAGTGGTATGATGCGAGGATGACCGTACTTATGTGAAAGAAAGCCGAAGAATGAACAAAGGGTGAGATTTCGAATTTGTGCCGATCGCTCATCTTCGTAAACATCTGTCAAAGAACATGACGGTCATACTGAAACGCATGGCTCATTTAGATAGGAGTAGACCTGAGACATGTCTTTGATGCAGAAGAAATAGGTGTAGTAAGTGCTACCCACGCAAGGACAAATGCTCACTAAACGCGCTGGTATCTACGTTAGTATACATATTAGAGTTGATGGGATTTGAAGTGGGAGAGGCATGCGTGTATCAAGGCAGTATTTTATCATACCCAATGCTCAGTAAGTAACACGATCGCGAATCCGCAGGCAGATTGTTTCATCGGTTCATCCTCCAAGCTTCGCAATTCCATCGCAGGAACAAGGAAAGGAGAATATCTCTGTGGCCAAAAAGTGACATTAGAGATCGACGAAAGAGAACCCCGCTGAGGGAGAGCGGAATTATATAACACGTATTCGCTGGACATGTTCTTGGTCCATCCACGACCGGTCTCGCTCAAAAGCAGCGACTCCTACTCGCTCGTAGACGTCACTACCCGTTTCTGCGGCAGCAACAAGTAGACCATAATGAGTCAACAGACTACTGTTCGGTAAGTTCTGCATACCCAGGACCATACATTTAAGAAGACTGTACGAGAACCAATCAGTGTCTGGGCTTCGATCGAAGAATACTCGATCATTTTCCTGCTTTTCAAAGTCCCTAGCATCGCCACGAAGAGCCCCAGGTGTGCCATAATCGTCGAAGGGCGAACCAAGGTCTGGCTGCCAGTGAACTGCGCCGAATGGAACATTCATGAAGCATATAGAGCCTGTTACTGCCATCCAGGACCATGAGAGCACCCGCCTATCTGCTGGGTAGTCAATCTTGATCATCTCTTTGGTGAGATCTGCACGTCGCCAAAGAAGACTACGGCGTAAATAGCTTCGCTCGCGGATATCATCCAGAATACCATGTCGTGCTCTACCGAACAATTCCGCGAACCGTGATTCAATGCCAGCCATACCCAACGACCTATCCGTAAGGTGCGTAAAGTCAAGCTCTGAATAGTTTTGATATATCTCTTCGAAGAAGGCGATGCGCATCCCCTTATATAGCTTCAGCATAGCATCAGGGAACTGGGGGTCGGAGAGAAAGGATGTTTTGTGGCTGATAGAACAATGAGCTTAATGTCGCAGCATGAGAACGCATAGTGATACTTACTTGTACTGCGTCGACAAGGTCTCGCATCGGATTCCCTTTCCACATTCCCAGTAGACTTGAACTTCCGTGAAGTGGATGATGCGTCGAGATAGCGCTCTTTCTTGGAAAACCCATCCCCTTTGACTCAATGCTGACTGCTCCACATGGCGCTCAAAATCATCGATAGGATCGCATAAATAGATCATATCAAGGCTACCCAGCTGATTGGTATACGAAAGCGGATAGTGGCGTCTCATTTTGCGATCCGTTTTCAGGAACCCGTCATCGCTTCCAGTTGCACAAGTTGCGGAAAGTGTGACATACGCACACCTGAAGACATCCTCCATCTTCCCAATTTGAGCTTGCAAGTCCTCTAAATCATCCTGAATTATGCAGAGTGCATCTATCCAAAGGTACCTGATCCCGAGGCCCCTTGTAATCTTTACTGCATCTTGAAAGGTCCGCGGTAGCATCTTCAGATCGAGGTGAGTTTTCCAACGTTCCAGCTTTTCATGACTCAAGGAATGAAAACCTCCATGTAGCGATGGATCGCCCCACCGGTGTGTCAATGCCACGTATCTAGTTTCTTTCCTATCCCTTTCGCAGTCCAAACGAAGAGTGGTTGGCTCTCCGCGATCGTGAAAGTCGCAAGCTTCGTGCGGAAATACATCGACGAGTCTTCGAGGCATAACTATCTTTGTGGGTCCGCAGTCGTGATGCAGATCACACCACTTTATCCATCTTTTTAACAGTTTGATCTGAATAGAACCTCCAGGGATTGGTAGAAGTGGAAAGCCTCGTTGGTAAGTGTCCGAGAAATGGTTGAGGCCTACGTCCGGAGTAAGTATCCTGCCTCGAAACGTGATGTACTACTTACCGGGACTTGGCCCTACAACCCAAGAAAGCAACGGGGGTTCTCCTCTCGAAGTAGTCAAGCAAGACCCTTCTTGTAATATCACCTTGCTTGCATTGTCTCCTGTCGCACTACTCATCCTGTCGTACACGATAGCGCAGAGAGCACATTTCGTTTCGAACGCGCGTGCTTGTTCATAAGATATTGAGAAATAAGCCCTCGAGAAGACTCCCATTTGAGTGCTAGAGCATACATGACATAGATAAGTCTGGACCGGATACGCTGGAGCAAGCATGGAGATTTCGTCGTCATCCAGCGCGCCAAATACGGTCCTTGCGAAAAGGTTGTCAAAATGTGTCATCCATGCATCCAACGTGATGGGTACCGGATAGGGATTCTTGGTGTTGGCTTTCCCGCCGTTATTTTGTCGTTGGTGATATACACGGATCAGATCACGCGATTTCTGCTGACGAGTTGACATCAGAAGTTTGCTCATCGGTTGTCGAGGGGACCATTCACCTCTTGACGAGAGCTGGATATCGGAGAAGGCACCTGTAATTTGCTCGGTGTGGGTTTTGATGGACCCCGACCGTTCGGGCCACTCATGTTGACTTTCGGGTTATACATGTAGTTCCGGCCGTCATTCGGAGTCGAGCTGATCTTTCTGAGCTTCATGCATGATTCATTGCACTTCGCCCTGCCTGAAAAAGACGTAACCGACTTGGCATCCGGGGTAGTCGTGATCAATATGGATAAGCCGCTGTCCTCGTTGGACTGTTGGGTTGAGTCGGTTGTGTCATGATCTACTGGATCTGGCACTAGCAGTCTGTCTCTCACGAAAATGAGAAGTTCACGCAGAGCAACGCTGTAGCATTGCTCTCCATCTACCAGACATGTGTCAGCCATGTATTTCATCCAGGAAATCACTACTGGATGAGTGGGATGATCATCGCTATCTCGCGACCAGAACGGGTCATGATCCTCGGGACAGGCTTGGTCGTGAAAGGCTTTGAGCTCATCAATACCATAGACCAACCATATTATCCACTCCAGGGTGATGCAACCCATGCTCCATATGTCGTAGGACCTAGAGATCTTTGCCTTGACCTCAGGTGGCTTGTATCTGGCGGTTCCATCCAGAGTTGACGATGGGTTGTTTCGGGCGTGTGTTGGAAGCGAATGTATCTTGGCCAATCCTAGGTCGGCGATCTGAAAGATCCCCCGTCGGCTGTCTTGCGCTTCTAAAGACCTAAGAATGTTCTCCGGCTTCAGATCTCCGTGTCGACCGTTCAATGGGGTGCTAGATAGCTTCAGATCGTGCCACTTTTCAAGTGCTGAGAAGAGACCTGTTATCTGCTCGATCGTCCAGCTTATAAGATCTGCGTTCCGAGACCAGTTCTTCTTGTTGTTCCAGTACGATCGAAGGTTACCTCCGTCTGCCCACTTAAAGAGCAAGTGACTTGTGGGACCTTGCCTGAAACCGCCGACGAACTTTACTATATGTGGATGTTGCAACTGCCGCGCAAGGTCCAGGGCAGCGAGTTCTCTCTGATCGGCCCCCACTGCTGTATCGCGTAGCTCTTTGATTGCAATGACGAGGTTTGCCTATCGCGGTTAGCAAGATTCCGCCAATCGAAGACAAGCTACTGACTGAACTAATCTTGTGATGAGCATGGTGTATGGTAGCTTTGTGTACGAAACTGAAACTGCCTCCTTCACGTTTCGAATCACATGTGATGAAGGGTAAACGGCAGTCTCTATGTAAGACTTCCATCATGCTATTGCTCTCGAAGATCGGTGACAGAAATGTCCATTGCTTCTCGCAGAAGTCGTTTTTCTCTTGCGTCCTCCAGCTGTTGAACCATTTCCAGGCGTATCCATCTCTAGATAAGCCGTTGAGCGAAGTAAGCACCGAGTCTTCATTAGCAATAGGAAGATAATCATCGTTGAACTTCGATTTCTCAAGGTTCATAGCCTTGAGGACTTTGTCCTGAATGACCAGAGTGGCGAAGGTTCTCGGTGCCTTTTTTGCGATGTACTTGGCAAGCGACGAGTCCAATGTCCCGAAAACCTTGTCCAATTCTTCTTTGATGGTATTTTCGGTGATGAGCGTTTCGAAGTCATCCTGAGGGAGGAAAGATTTCTGTGAGAATTCGCTGCGTACTAGCTTTTCGAAAATGGCATCGTAGAGCCCTCGCTGCTGGTTTGGGGCCATTTCATCTTCCCAGGTTGCGGACGTTGGTTCGTTATCGCAGAGACCCTGCTGTAACCGCAAAGGCAAAAATTGCTGTTCTGCAGGCATAGCTGACCTTGGCGCCTTATCATTGGTTTGCCGCTACGTTGGAGTCAAGTGACGTAGTGTGACACAGCCCTAAGGCAGTGCGGAGGGCAGTGCAGAAGTGTACAACGAGGTAATGCAGATAACTCCGAAAGATGAAGCACCGGTCAGTTGTCCGAGTCAATGACTGGCTTGTTGTCATGACACAGGGCCATCAACGACATTTAAATAGGTAGTACTATGCAGCCTCAAGTCGGACAGCCTCAAGTCGGAACCAATGTCAACTGGGTATAGACTCCAATAGTGGTGCGATTATGCTCTCAGCCGTCGCCAAGTATGTTGACGTCCATATCACCTACTGGTGGCTTGCAGAGCATAGCTATTGCGGCTTTGGAATGACATTCACCGGTCGGAAAGCATGCTGGCTGGCTCCACTCGGTCGGGACGCTCAGCCCTGGATGTAAGTGAGATTTGTGTATCTCGACGGAACATCAATCCTGGCTTGTATCATGATAGATCTGTGATTGTTGTACCGATGCGCCTATATGATTTAACGAGCGCGTATGCAAAGCTGTCGGAGTTTCGAAAGCTGACCGGTACAAGGGTGGCATACGTCTTGCAGCATCCTGTTTTGTTCAAACACCACTCGTTACCAACCATTGGAGAGGACTGTATGCCGCTGATAGGAGCCAGGTGACGTTTAGTCTGACGCTCGTAATTGCCGTATGCAGCCGGCCAACGATCGTCAACGCCCCCGTCCAGTGGAACGTGCATAGTGTTCGCACGATAGGAACGCATCATGGGGCTATGCAATGCATGCTTCCCGTCACGGTGCAAAAGAAGACCAGCTCAGTAGTATCGTGGTGATTTGTCGGTGTTGAGCCTCAATCCAGCTCGGTCAGAGCCCAACCGTCATCGCCGCAATCTCGACCGCTTATGGTATGTCGCTCATCAGGAAGTGAGGCTCGGTATCTTGTTGACATCTAACACGAGAAGGACTCGGCGAAGGTGTAATCATCGCAGTGAACGTGCGAAGACGACGTCGCATCGTATGTTTTTCCCCAGTGGTATAGACTTCATTGTCGTCGACCGGCCAGGCGCGTCGATACGCAGCTTTGAACGAGGGTGTGGAGAGATTGTGAGGCTCAGATTATCTCCGTATCGATTCGTCTCGGACGCGCAGGCCTCTGTTCGAGGTGCTGGTATTGGTTGCGTGGCCGGTTGATACAGGCGCTTTCAGTCATCACACCCGTCCGGATAATCAGAGATGCAGTCAACGGCTACTGATTCTTGACCGGAAACCAGAGTGGCGCGATACTGCAATGCATGGACGGCACAGAGACAAGTTGCCGGAAGCTGTGGTTGCGGGTTGTTGGTGGTAGCTGAAGACGCGCGCGGGGTGCGTGCAACCAGCTCGGCCCGGGAGCTGTCGCCCCACAAATTTCGCGATCGGGGCGCCGTAGGGCTACTCGTTCGACGCACGGCACGAGGAACGATGGGATGATACGATGAGAGCGCTCGCTCTGGAGAAACCAGATTACGTGCATTCGTTACGAGCTTGTTGGTATCAATGCTATGTGTACGCTACTGACAGTACGCCTCCGCCGTTTGCAGAGAGATTTCGAAAAGAAAAACAGCCATTAGATATGCATGTGCCCTCGGCATTCCATGCAGACAATAAGCGCATCAATGGGTGTCTACTGCTTATCATTTTGCGAGTAAATGAAGTTGGCAGCAACAGGCACGAGGCCATTGTGCTCAGCCCACTCTCGCACACCACCACCCTCCTTTCCAGTACCCCAATGCTGGCGATCCTCTGGCTTACTCACATGAAGCGGCTCGGTTGTTCCGTTCTTTGGCGCAAAGACAAGGAACACATAGCGATGCTTGCCTGTCTTTGGTGGTGGGCCAGGAGGCTTGTACTCCATCACGTCTTCCGGACCGCCGTCTGTCGACTCGGTCTCTTCTGTAAGACCAAACTCTGGTAGGGGTAGGATCGAGAACGTGTTCGGCGCTGTGGTGACGTTTGCCGCAATCCAATGACACATTTCTGACCATGCTGGATTATCGCGGGATGGCGCGTCGGGGTCGGTGAGTGTGACGACGTAGCTCATGTCAGAGGTGCTGTGCATTCCGTCCGGACTTGTGTCATCGTGCAGAACAATGGTGGGTTGTTCTCCAAGATAGTCTGGCTCGATGGTGTTGCCGAGTTTGGCCTTGGCATCTGACCAGAGAACGGACACCGTGAGACTAGGCAGGAAGTCATCAATGACGGTGGGAATGATCTCAGCGTGTTGAAGTCTGTGGAGATTTAGTACGGTGCTCGTAGTTTTGATGAAATTCCTTACTTTGTCCGAACAGCCTGGACGTTCTTAGGGCCGTTGAGTATCAATGGCCTTTGCTCAGTTGGTAGCGCAACGGCGCAGAACGGCAGCAGGCACGTCAGCCCAATCGAGACTTGGGAAAACATCGTGCTGGCGAAATAACGGCTTGTTGATTTGGGGATAATCTTTCAGTTTCAAAATAGCTTCAAGCCTCGTCGTTGTCCGGGATGTGTGCAGCAGAGCGTTGAACCGACCTCAGGAACGTTATCGCGTGAGGTAGGCCCTTATGGGGAGGAGTCTCCACCCAACCTCGTCGTGCGTCATTCGTACCTCAACTTATGCAGATCCACAAACGTTCGGGGATGCTACAACGTGATTGGGCAACGTCGATCTTGCAACCCTTGGATAGCGCGAGTCATACAGATGTCATATATTTGTTGTATTTCTGCTAGGCTGGTGTAGCTCTACGGGTATTCGGATAGCACGCTCAAGAACAAAGAAAAAGACAGGAAACCGCCAACGTAGAAGACATGTGTCGCTGAATCAGCAACCTTCAAAATGTTCACAAATCTGTGCCTCGCAGAATGCACTGCTGTCCATCACAAAACCCATGTTCTGCGAGACTTGATACTCGGCAAGCTCCTGAGCTCCTCGGCCTGTCATGGTGCCTGTGCAGTCGCGAAGCAGGACACAATCCCATCCATAAGAGTAGGCGTCTGACACGGTGCCAAAAACACATTGGTCCGTGTTGACACCGGCGAAAAGTAGTGTTTGCTTGCCAGATGCGCGGAGATACTCGTGAAGAGGCTCCTTCTCAGACCAAAGTCCCGACATGCGCGTCTTGTCGAAGAATAAATCGCCAGGCTGAGCGACTGCCTTGAACGGGTCGTAGAGTTCGGCGTTCCAGGTCCGCTTGAACAGGCACCTTCCCTGACCATCGGGCAGCTGCGCGCCAAGTCCGACGTGCCATCCCAGAGTCTTGCTGAAGCCTCGCTGGATAGCAGGTGCCATCTTTTTCAAGTCATGGTCGCTGATTCCCCAGTTCAGCCAGGCAATCTGGATCCCCTCTTTACGGCATCTCTCGATGACTTTCAGAGTCGGCTCGATAGCGGCGATGCCTGCGGCGTGATCCCGATAGAGTGGGTGAACAAAGTAGTTTTGCATATCGACAACAATCAAAACCGAGTTGCCAGGGTCGATCATGAAGCCGGTGTGGTTGCGATCTTCCTCATCGCACTCGAAGACCATCTTCTGCTGGGAGCCCCGAGACAGATCGAACTTCTTGGTTGCGGGCAGGTAAAGCCATTGTTCATCCCCTCCAAACGGGATAGGTGCAGTGCAAGTGATAGTCCCCACTGTAACGTCGTTCTGCTGTTCTTCGGTGGTAGTAAGTGTGAGAGACTCCGGGGCCATGGAGGCGTCGGAGATGATGAGAGCGAGGTAGGCGAAAGCTGAAAGCAGCAGAAACCCAGGATAGATTTAGGGCTGAAAGTTGGTGTGGAGGTGTGAGGATGATTAGGAAGGGGGAGAACAAACGAGAAGAAGGCACGCTACCTTTGTAGTCGGTGTGCGAACGCTCCTGCTGCGTTCCAAGGTTTGTTTGCGGTGAATATGATAACAGTGCTTATCACAATGATAGGCTTCCCTCGGGAGGAAGCTTGGTCGTAAGACAATGAATCAGTCATAGTAGTGTAGACCCTATCAGCTTATGCGGAGACGGACTTCCGCAGGGACTTGAAGGCTACATGAGCCTTTCCCAATTAGCAGTAGAGTACGTCGAAGCGACCTGACGATCACAATGCATTCCCCAAGATGCGGAGATAGGAGCTGGAGATCTTCTTTGATAATTTGGTGTTGTCGCGTCTGGCCGCGTCTCGCAGCGAGATAAGGCTGGAGGGCTTGATAGATAGCCGTCGCCTAGTACAAGGGAAATCCCGGGGTCCGACAATACCCGAGCGCGAGCCAGCGTACGCCAGCGTGTCCATGGTACTTTCTCAGCGACCAGAAAGGTAATGCGATACTACGTGGCCGGACTAGGGGAGTGTAATCCACATATCCTCGAGAAATCCTAGGCGACTCGTGCGCCAGCTGTGTTGCGAAGCCAGCCAGTCTTATGTTGTCCATATCCAATGCTGACCACGGGTCGTGCATCACCAGGCACTGCTGATGCTGCTCATGTGGTAGAAAAGTCTTGTCCTGTTACCCATTTGCTCGTGTGCACACTCTACATACGGTTTGCTGCAGCCTGTACACCATGTCCGGCCTTGGAGCCGAGCCGCATGCTGCCTCGCGTGTGGTGGCGTTCGCAGGGCTCGCGACCAGCAGAAGAGGAGGTTTCAGCAGCCGTGTGCTTGCTTTAACAACACGGGTGCGCGTGGCCACATGGCTGAGGGTGTTGCCTCCTTTATGCGAAAGGAATGAACAATATGACCTAAGATTAAGGAGACATGTGAATGTTGAATGTGGGGTTGGCTGCCAGGTGGATTGCCATGCTGGCCGTCACGTGCACCATCATCAAACCTTGGAACTTTCAAGCGAAGTGACGACGGAGCTGCAGCAAAGGCACTCCATCACGAGCCTCTGACCCGACGAAGCCGCCATCAGCCACGATCACTTCGCCGATCCCGCATCTGCACCGTGCAACACTATCTCCACGCCGCAGGACGACATCGGGCTCACACACGACTCCGCGGTGTTGTTTGGCTGTTCTACCAACAACCGGACCCTTAAGGAGCAGAGAAACCACACATAACCACCAGCGCAATGGCGTCGCTGGGCGAGGAGCTCCTCAACATTGTCAACAGGCTGCAGGATCTGGTCTTCAACACAATTGGAAATGATTCCCTAGATTTACCCCAGATTGTATGTGCGCCCCAGCCCGAGAAGAGAATGCGGTGAGCGCAGAGCAGATTCTACGCAGCTCTGCACAGTCTATCAGGATTTCTACTAACTGCCTCAGGTCGTCGTGGGATCACAATCATCCGGAAAGTCGTCGGTACTCGAGAACATCGTCGGCAAGGACTTCCTTCCCCGTGGCAGCGGTATCGTCACACGCCGGCCGCTCATCCTTCAGCTCATCAACCTCCCGAGCGAACGCGACGAAGACGACGATGACGAGGTCCACGTACCACACACACCCGCAAGCGTAGCCGGGCAGCAAGAATGGGGAGAGTTTCTCCACATCCCGGGCCAGCGCTTCTACGACTTTGCCGACGTCAAACGCGAGATCGAGAACGAGACGTCGAGGATAGCAGGAAACAACAAGGGCATCAACAGGCAGCCCATCAACCTGAAGATCTACTCCCCGCACGTCCTCAGCTTGACGCTCGTCGACTTGCCTGGTCTGACAAAGGTTAGTCAGGCAACTTTTTTCTGCCAGGACCCGGAGCTAACTCCCTCAGGTGCCCATTGGCGATCAGCCCTCCGATATCGAGAAGCAGACGCGAAACCTCATCACCGAGTACATTGCGAAGCCCAACAGTGTCATCCTCGCCGTCTCCCCCGCCAACGTCGATCTCGTCAACTCGGAAGCTTTGAAGCTGGCCCGCCATGTCGACCCCATGGGCAAGAGGACCATCGGTGTCCTTACAAAGCTGGATCTCATGGATCACGGTACGAACGCCATGGATATTCTCTCTGGCCGCGTATACCCTCTCAAGCTCGGCTTCATTGGTATTGTCAACCGGTCACAACAAGACATCCAGGGCAACAAGTCGCTCTCTGATGCCCTGCAAGCCGAGCGGGACTTCTTCCGACACCACCCTGCCTACCGGAATATGGCCAACCGATGTGGTACCCAGCTGCTCGCCAAAAGCCTCAACCAGACCCTCATGGCCCACATTCGCGACCGGTTACCAGATATCAAGGCACGTCTCAACACGCTCATGGGCCAGACACAACAAGAGCTCGCGAGCTACGGCGACGTGGCTTTCACTGGAAAGGAGCACCGCGGCTCGCTCATCCTGCAGCTCATGACCCGCTTTGCCTCATCCTTCATCTCATCCATCGACGGTACTTCCACCGAGATCTCTACCAAGGAGTTGTGTGGTGGTGCCCGCATCTACTACATCTTCAACTCCGTCTTCGGTAACTCGCTCGAGCAGGTGGACCCAACCCAGAACCTCTCTGTGTTGGACATCCGGACGGCTATCCGTAACTCGACTGGTCCAAGGCCTAGTCTGTTCGTACCCGAGCTGGCTTTTGACCTTCTCGTAAAGCCTCAGATCAAGCTTTTGGAAATACCCAGTCAGCGTTGCGTGGAGCTTGTATACGAGGAACTCATCAAGATCTGCCACACTTGCGGCTCTACCGAATTGACGAGGTACCCCAGGCTACAAGGAAAGCTCATTGAGGTCGTCTCTGACCTTCTGCGAGAGCAACTTGGCCCTTGCTCAGGTTACGTCGCTTCTCTCATCGATATCCAAAGGGCATACATCAACACAAACCACCCCAACTTCCTTGGAGCTGCTGCCGCCATGTCATCTGTCATCAACGACAAGGAGCAGCGAGAAAAGAAGATTGCCATGGAGGCCGAGAAGAAGAGGCGGGAACAGAGGAGGATGAAGGAACTCCAAAACGGTGCTAATGGCGAAGAAGCTGAGGAAGGCGAAGGGGGCGAGGGTGGAACTCTCAAAGCTCTCCCTCTTCGGAAACACCAGTCACAAACCAGCCGCAGCATGTCGCCTGCCGTCGGGCGGATGATGAACGGCTCGCAGAGCACCACGGCCGCGCTCAACAATCGCAACCGGTCACCTCCTGGTACTGCACGCGACAGCTTCCTGAACTACTTCTTCAGCAAAGATAGCAACAACGCATACGCCAACCCACAACAAGCAGCACAAGCAGCGCTTGACAACAGGCCTGGCAGCCGCCACGTCAGCCAAAACAGCGAGCCCAGCTTTGCGCAGAGCATCCGGAGAGGCGACAACAAGCAGCCTGCTCATGTATTGGCCATGATGCCACCAGACACCGATGACTATGACGCGCCATTGAGCGCTGCCATGAGTGCCCCTCCCCGAAGTCCAAGTATGGGAGGAGACAACTTCGAAGGCGGCTTTGTAAGTTTCTCCAGCACACGTCGCTCTGACTATGCTAATGTCCAACAGCCATCAAACCCCGAGCAAGCACCTGCGCTTACGGAACGCGAGGCTCTTGAGACCGAGCTCATCCGCCGCCTCATCTCATCGTACTTCAACATTGTCCGGGAAACCGTCGCCGACCAGGTCCCCAAGGCGATTATGCATCTTCTCGTCAACCACTCCAAGGACGTGGTACAAAATAGGCTCGTGTCAACGCTGTACAAGGAGGATCTCTTCCAGGAGCTCCTGTACGAGGACGACACAATCAAGGCCGAGCGCGAGAAGTGCGAGAAGCTGCTCAAGACATACAAGGAGGCAGCCAAGATTGTGGGCGAGGTGTTGTAAGAGATAGGTGTTTGGATAATGAAACGAATCGTCACGGGTTCCTTGTAGGTTTTGAAAATGTGCGATTATACGACCTTGGCCCTTCTTCCGACTGGTGTCGTAGGATGGTCGTGGCAAACGGTCGGGCTGGGGCCAAGGTTGACAAAGCGTTATGGAGGCTGGCCGCCGTCTGTTAATATTGTCCTTGGCCGCTCCTCTGCGCTTTTCATTTCTACTCTTCTGTTGCCCTGCTGTTTTCCAAGGGTTGCAGGGCGTTTTCCGCGGCTCCGCTTTTCATCTTTTCTGCGCGTTTTGATGTCCTGTGTAGCATAGTACCTGCCCATGGCGGGTCGGGGGTGGAGATGATACATGTATAGAATATATCATTGGCAACAATTATGGTTTTGAGACGTAGGTAATGTCCTGAATGTGCGAGGAAGTGACAACAATGACTTCTATAGCTCAAGGCGTGTCATCACCAATGTCGGCTTCGGTGCAAACTGGTTCTCCAGGAATTCCGTGCCTGTTCTACGTCTACACGTGGATTGCAGCAACCCCGCTGATGGCGTATTTTCCGAATTAGTCCCAGTCCTTGCATGATCACGCAGACCAGCTTTATTGTACGCCAAGTTTCGAAGAGGTTGTACAGAATTCAGATATGAACGAGCATCGAAGGATCGAACTGAAGCATGTATATTGAAAACGTGACCAACTCGACGTCTATGTTGTACAAAAGGTACATAGTACAAGAGATTGGTATCTCGTAGATGTCGTACCACTATTGACTGCTCTCCCCCACCCAGCCGTCTCTCGGCTCGATGGGGTCCGGCCGCATTATGCCCATGCTAACGTAGGAAACGGAATCACTCTGGGTGTGTGTGCTTATTTGTCGGTTATGCCGAGGAGTGTGTTGAGGTCGGCGTTGGGGTCTTTCGGGTCTGCGATGGCTGTTTGGTTGTCAGTATACATTCTGCCGTATCATACACATGGCCAAGTTGAGAATTTTGACATGTGTCGTCGGTCTGACGTACCGCCTGATGACTTTGGCTGTTCTGAGGGGTGGTCCCGTGCCCATTGTTGCTTTGCTTGCCTGATCAACGACTCCTTGTGCTCCCAGTCCTTCTGTGCGGCCTTTGCCCTATCGGCAGCGGATAATGAGAGCTGGTGGTAGGCACCGTAGAAGACGCCAAATCCGAGGGCGGACCATCGGAGGACCTGTAAATACCACTATTAGCCTGGTTGTCCCATCTCTAGAGCTAGCGGAAGGCTCAGACGGTCGTGCTAGAGACCTTGGCAAGCGCTTCGAGGGGCAGAGCGTACGTTGACACCGACGGAAGTGGACATGGTGAGGGTCGTGCGAGGACTTGCGATAGGCGTTATCGAGCTCGTATATGTCCAATGGCAGGTATTCCGGACGGGCGATGAAAAGTCACCGCTGCAGGGGATCCGGAGAGTCGGGACGAGGGCGTCGGGGCGGATGCGAGATGTTGGGCGTTGAGCTGTGAAAGTTGAGGTTGGCTGGCGCAAGATTTGGTCGGGATCGCTGGCTGCGAGCTAGTGCGTCCCTGAACCACCACCGCTTGGCGCGACAGCATCACCCGACGCGCCTGCCTTTGTGTACATTGCACTTGCCTTTGTCTGTGGATAGCTGAAGGCGGGGAGGAAACAGCCTCTGGATACACGACTCAGCTTAGGTCTTCTACCAGCGCCGACATATACTCGACCAAGCATCCCACCTCGCCCGTCTCCGCCATGGAGTCGACAATGCAGCAGCGGCGCGATGAGATTCTCGCAAAGAAGGCCAAGTTGGCCGAACTCAAGCGCCAGCGAGAACTGAGGAAGGCCGAGTCAGCCAGCAGGCAATCCGCGACTGGTAGTCCTCTAGGAGAAGTAGGTTACATATCCAATTGCATCTAATCAGTGACTGACTAACATCACAGGTCCTCTCGCCAACACCACGACGCAGCGAAGATCTCGACCGCAGAACCGACGTCACCAATCTCATCAATAGCATCCTTGGGGAGAGTAGACCCGGCTCTACACAACCTGGCTCCCCAGCAGGCGCAGGACGACCAACCCGCCCAACATCGGTAGTCAGCGCAGGCCAACTGAGCAGCGACAATGAAGGATCCACGGGCTTCCCATCCCTCACCGGCATGGTTGACCGAGAGATGCAGACTCTCTCGCTTGCTCCGCTAGCGACAGTCTACGAGGCTGACGGCCAGGTCACCAACGAGGTCAAGAAGGAGAAGGAAATCATCACATACAGCAAGGGTGTACAAGCAAGCATAGAGTGGACCCCGTCTAAAGACCGAGGTATCGGCGGAAGCGATACAGAGCGCGACGAGAGCCCTACGCGGTCACCCAAGAGCAAGAGGTTGAGCCGGAGACAGAAGGAGAGGGACGAGGAGATCCGAGCGCAGCTGCGCAAGGAAATTGAGGAGGAGCTCAGGGTCCTGCAACAAGCGCCCGAAGAGGGTGCACAACAACCAGGGTCAGAAGAGAACTTCCCGTTCAAGACCCTCACAAACGAAGAATTGACGGCTGTCGAGAACTCGGAGGAGTTCATCGGCTTTGTCGAGCGCAGCACGAAAGTGCTGGAGCGAGCGCTTGACCAACAACTTGGCTACGACATTTTGGCAGACTACGCAAATGGTGGTGTAGACGTCGACGATGACGATGAGGGTTACGGTTCAAGTGGAGGCAAGAAGGGTCGCCGCATCAAGGAGATTGCACAGTTCTGGGATGAGCGATGGAGCAAGAAGAGGATGATTTCAGATCTGGGCTTCTCAACAAAGGTATGGAGTGCGGTGACGTCTGGCGATTATCACACTGACATGCTTCACAGTTCCCAGAACTCGTCCTTGCCTCGTACACCAAGAACCCGTCCGCGCCACACGACCCTGACGGTCTCGTACAAGTATGGAACCTGCACATGCACGATCGACCCGAGTACATCTTCCATGCGCAGTCCGATATCCTTACTGCAAAATTCTCCCCGTTCCACCCGAATCTCATTGTTGGAGGCGCCTACTCAGGGCAAGTGCTGCTATGGGACACTCGCGCGAAGTCCGCACCAGTGCAGAAGACACCGCTCACTGGCTCCGGTCACACACATCCCGTCTACTCGTTAGACATTGTCGGAACGCAGAACGCAAACAACATCATCTCGTGTTCGACGGATGGTGTCGTGTGTGGATGGACTGTTGACATGCTTTCACAGCCCCAAGAGTTCCTTGAATTGACATCACCGCCGCCAGCCAAGACAGACGATATGGCAGTGACCAGCATAGCCTTCCCGCAATCGGATCCAACTTACTTCCTCGCAGGCACCGAAGAGGGTACTATTTACCCATGCCATCGCTATGACCGAGCCGGTGCGAAAGCAGGTGTAGACGGCCGCGTAAAGTATGCTGGCCATGCTGCGCCCGTTATGAGTCTAGACTTCCATCCCGCCAAGGGTCAGATCGATCTAGGGGACCTTGTTCTGTCGTCGAGTGTCGACTGGAGCGTCAAGCTTTGGAAGGTCCGCCCGCCGGCTGCTACAGGCGCTACCAACCCAACACTTCCTGGTGCAACGCAACAAGTAACACCCGTTCTCGACATTGCACGCGAAGATCTCGTTTATGACGTTCGATGGTCGCCTGTCAAACCCTCCGTTTTCGCGCTTGTCGACGGAGCGGGAAGTCTCGAAGTTTGGGATATCAACGTAGATGTCGAGGTTCCTGTTCAATCGGTCAAGCCCAGTGACGGTAAGCGTGGCGCGTTTACGAACATGCCAACGGGTCTTGGCTACATGAACAGGAGTCTGAACAAGTTGGCATGGGAGAGGAACGAAGGGCGCAGAGTTGCAGTGGGAGGCATGGATGGCGTCGTCACCATCTTCGAGGTGGGCGATGATCTTGGAGGTGTCCAGACACGTAGCGAGGAGTGGAGTGGCGTCAAGAGGTTAGTAAACCGGTTGGAAGGTCACGGTGATGGTACCAACGGGAAGTAAGATTCTATTGAATGTCTCTCAATGGACACTTCCAGGGCCTGGAGGACGGTTGTGGCAGTGCTTCAATACCCATTTCTTTTCAGCGGAGCATCATTCTGGAGTCGGCAGTTCACTTTCTACCATACCCCAAGCATCACAAATCCACATTCTATACAGAGTACGCGGGCCCAGAACACTACAGGTGTGGCGGTGCATCGACGCTCGTAGCACAATTGCGCACGTCAATTATCCTAGCTCGACGCGTTCTCGTCTCACAAACGGTGATCATGCCCAAACTCATGGTCTCCACGTTGCGATGCCATCAGGGCAGCCCGTTAGCGCACGAGGCTAAAGTTCCCCCCACCAGTTAAACCTCACGGATCCCCTGGTTTACCCAGCCACAGGTAAGCCGCACCTCCACACCTACATCATCGATGGCCAACAGGTTTCCTATCGCGAGACGGGTGCTCGGAACAGAGCATTGCATAGATGGGTCGGTGTCCCCGCTTCTGCCGGTGCAGGATCAACGAATCGAACGCCCGGTTACCGCCACTTCGCAAGCCTGATGAAAGTAGGTCTGGCTAGTACGTTAAAGCGCTGATGGTGCTGTCGCTTCAACCGGGTCCGTTCATCCGTCAACAACGCTTCTGATGATGCTTGGAGTCCTGCTCAAGCTCGCGCCGGCGCTGCGATGGCCCATTGTTTCGGCTGGTCAGGGCGCGAACCATGAACAGATGTAACTATGCATTCTCAACCGCGGATTGGTCAACAGGAGCGAAGTTTACTGACATTGACCAATCTAGTGCCATAACTTCCTGCATATCGGCCGTTAAGGGCTACTTTCCCTGCAATACCACCCCGATTCCCGACTATACGTGCCTGTGCGAACAGTACCTATGGCGCGTCTCATGCTTCGACAACCACGCGTCGCATCCAACATCGCACCCGGATCGTTCGATCGCCGAGAGTTATACGAGCGACTACTGTCTCGCGGCAGGTAGCATTGGCGCGGAGAAAGTACGGAGGAATCATCAGCTCCAACAGAGACAAATTGGCGATCTGTTATCCAGCATCGTTGGCGATGTCTCGTCGGTGCTGTCGAGCAATGGCGTTACGGTGCCTACGGCCGTTATCGAGAGTGTAGCGGGTAGTGTGGTGAATGCTTTACCAACACCTGCGAATCCTACGAGCATTGCGGCTGAGATCACGGCAACGAGTGCAACAGAGGAGGCAAGCAGTACAGCGAGGAGCACCGGACCGACAACAACAGAGGCATCGTCAACTGCGGGCGCAGCTTCAAGCACCGCATCGGAAGAACCAACGTCGTCGAGTGCAGCTGCCGCAGGCGCATCATCCTCAGATTCAAGTTCCGGTCCCTCAACAGGTCTCATCGCTGGTGTGGTAGTAGGAGCGGTCGCAGCTCTGGCCCTAATTGGCATATTCGTCCTCCTTCTCCTCCGTCACCGGAAGAAGAAATCCAGAAGCGCGGTTTTGAACGACAAAGAGGCCAGCCCAGCAGCATCTTCTTCGTCTGACCACTCCCCGCCGACGAACAGCGCATACACACATATCCCGCATCCAAACACGTATTCTACCACTACTACCCTTCCTGCGCAAACCGACAGGTCTTCAACACAACCAACAACAATGATGTCTCCTGTGTCTCCTATGGAGTCTGGAAGCCAGGCACCATGGGCATCGACGTCAACCTTTGGAGGCACAACAGCAATGGGAGCCGGTGCCGGCGCCGTCGCTGCACGTCACTCTCTATCTAGCTCTACCCCAGCACCCAGATACTCCGACGAGAAACCAGCACAACAACACCAATACATCGATTCAAAGATACCAGAAAGCAACGAGATGCCGACCAACGCAAACGTCTGGGAAATCGACGGCAGAGAGATGCCGCCGCCCAGCGAGTTGGATGCAGGCAAGAGAGATGGGTTAAACTTGGGCGATGTAGGCAGTAATACACAGGGGCAAGGGCAGCTTCAGCAACAAGAGTATGTCGCATATAGACCGCCGACCGTGGAGCATGCGCAAAATGGCGAGTATTTAGGCAACAGACCGGTTGGTCAGGCTCTTTGAGCAGATTGATAAAGCAACGAATTTATGAGTTTCTTATGCAATGCTTTGGAGCTTTCTTTCTGACTGTGCTGTCGACCAATCTTTTGTCGGACCTCGAACTTATCAAGATTGCAAGTCATCGTACGGACAGGGGAATTCCATGTCCAAGCCATAGTCCCGAAATGCCCAATCTAACTGAGAGTAGGATGCATCGAAGCTTGACCAGATGTCGGTGAGATATCTTTGGAAAGCCTCGTCGTTATATAAAACTCCTATCTGGTCCGTAACAGCATCGTTGTTG